AATAGTTGTCATATTGTTTGCTTTAAACAATGTATTAGTCTACTCTGGCTACCACAGTAGTCTACTGACTACCATAACAAAATACCACAGGCTGGGTGGCTTAAACAACAGACATTTATTTCCTTGCAATTTTGGAGGCTAAAAGTCTGTGATCAAGGTACTGGCAAATTTAGTTTCTGGTGAGGGCTCCCTTCCTACCTTGTAGATGGCTGCCTTCTGTGACCTCACATGGCCTTTTCTCAGTATGTGTATATGAAGAGAAAATGATTGTATTCCTTCCTTTTCTTATAAGAATACCAGTTATATCAGACTAAGGCCCCACTGTTATGACCTGTTTAAGCTTAATTACCACCATAAAAGCCCTGTCTCTAAATACAGTCACATTGGGGGCTGAGGCTTCAATATATGAATTTGAGGTGAACACAGTTTAGTCCGTGTCAAAGAGACATAAATGTTTTAAAGAAATTCTGAGAAATAAAACATAATCTCTTTGCTATTCCTTTCTTTCTGAAAATTTAAGTTTCTGGGTGATATCTGTTCCCAAGCCTAAAGAACTTGTCTTAGCATGTCTTACAGTGCAGGTCAACTGGCAAAAGGCATTCTCTTCATTTTTTTCTATGCATTTATTTTATATGCTCCCTTGAAAGATATTTTTGCTCAATATAGAATTCTTGGTTTACAGGGTTTTTTTTTCCATCAACACTTAAAAATGTCAGTATTTTGTATTCTGACATTATAAGAGGTGAACCATTATTTTTGTCATTCTTCCCCTTTGTATAATATGTCATTTTTTTCCTCTGGCTGCTTTCAAATTTTCTCTTAATCTTTGGCTTTCATTATGGTATGGCGTGGTCTTCTTTGAATTCATCTTTCTTCAATTTGTAAGTTGATTCCTTTCACCAAGTTTGGGAAATTTTCAGCATTTAAATTTTTTTGTTTGTTTCTTCTCCTCACTCTCTTCCCTCTTACTGTGACTCCAGTTCCACATATATGGTACCTTTGGCTATTGTCTCCCGTGCACCTGAGAGACTCGGGGTGTTAATTTTTTCAATGTATATTCTTTCTCTCCTTTCTCTCTAAGTCTCCCAGTCTAAGTCTCCTTCTCACTGCAGACATTTTTGTTTGTCATCTCCAATCAGCTCTTAGGCCCATCTACTATATATTTATTTCAGATATTGTATTTAATCAATACTATTACATTTCCATTTTTAATAGTTTCTTTCTTTGCTATTTCCTCTCTGTTTAATAACTATGAGAATATTTTCTTTTACATCTTTAAGCATTGTTAAATTACCTGCTTTAAAATTCTTATCCTCTAACACCTGTGTCACCTCAGATTTAGTGTTCACTAAGTGGCTTTTCTCTTAAGTATGGATTACATTTTCCTATTCCTCAATATGTACAATGATTTGGGGTCATAATTTGGACATTTTGATTGATATATTCTAGACACATTGTATTATTTCTATTTCTTTTTTGAGTATTGATTTTTTGGTTTAGCAGGCAGTTTATTTGGCTGAACTCAAACTTCAAGTTTCATTACTCTTCTGTGATGAACATGTCCTAAAATCTCTGTTGCATTATTTTACCATTAGTTGGACTACTTATGGTGTTTCCATGCACATGTAATTGGGAGATTATCCAGAAATTAGGGTAGCATTTATAGGCACAGTGTTGCATTCCCTTTCTATGGCTCTCTCTTTCTGACATCCCCTCCACGACTTACTTTGTAGCTACTATGGTTGCCTTGAACTCTAACCTCTCATTTCTTAATCAGAAAGACTGTATATTTCTGTCTAAGTATTAGTTACCTTGCATGGCACTGACTGGGGTCCACCCATGGGCAAAAATGTATAAAATCAGGAAATGTACAAGGTACTGTTTTTTCCTTCCTTGTGTCTATTCCTTTCCAGTTTCTACCTGGTTTTGGCCACTTTCCAGTGTCTTCAGAGAACTATTTCCTGTATTTTGGTCAGCGTTTTTAATTGTTACAAAATATGGCTCATTCATTCATTTATTACAGATGTCAGGCATTGCTCTGATTCTGAGGAGTGGAAAATAATGATGCTCTTGTGGTAGGAGACAGACATATAACTAAGGATTGTAAAACAACTTGATAGATGCTACAGTAGAGCAAGGATAGAAAATATTTGTGCCTTATATTCCCATTGACAGCCTGTGATCTTTGTCTGCATTTCCTGTTCTCCATGCCCAGTCATCTCCCTGTCCTTCATACATTACCACATTTTTCTTAACTTTTAATCATTTTTCTCTCCAAATCAGAATAATTTTTATGACCTTTAATAAGAGTATAAACGCTTATGACATTCAAGACACACTGTCTGCGTTTGCCTTCTTTGTTCATCCATATTTTCACCAGTTTACTAATTCTGTAATTTAACATACAGTAATCCTATGACCAATGTATGCCCAGCACAAATAGATACAAATGCAAAGTGTGGTAAGTGCCACCAAGTAGAAGTACATGGTGCTATCTATGCTTTTCCTGTGGTTCACTCATCCCACATTTATTCCACAAACCTTTATTGACCACCCATGATGTCCAAGCATGAGGCTAAACCAGTCCCTTACCATTCAAATCATATATGTCTTTCCATCTTCATGTCTCTACTAACCAGCCTCCTTTCGGTCGTGCCTTGCCTCTAGCCCTTTACTCCTCCAAACTCTACCTATTTTTGGCCTTTCAGCTGAAGCTTCGCCTACTCCAACCATACAATAATTGCCAAATGATTGATCTCTCACTTTATGCTACTATGCATCATAACTATTTCTTATTTTTCAGTGTATCTCCAGAACGTAGGTGCACAGTTCCTGGCAGCACATTAGGCATTTAGTAAATACTAAATAACTGCATTCATGCTTACACCACACATACTAGGTTCTAGCTTACTCCTGGAAGCTCATTTAAATCTCTCTTCTCTGAACTCCTAAAGCACTTCCCATAAAAATCAGCATCAAATCAAGTAATGCCTTTAGTTATCCATTACTGTTCCCAGTGAGTTTATCTTGGTGCTCGCAATGGATTGCAAACTCAGGGGATCCAGAGTGTGATGAGGATATGCTTCATCACAGTAATGCAGAGTTGAACCCGAAGGAGATAAATATTCAATAACTGCGTGTTTGTTTTTTCTTTTTCATTGAAATGACCCGTGTCTTTTATATCATTTTGAAACATTTCCACAAAAACTGCACCAGTGGTATTCAACAACTTATACCTGGAAGTTCAGTAGACAATATGACATGGTGATTAGGAACAAGGTCTTAAAATATAGAGACCTCAGTTTGAGACCTCTGTGACGTTGGGCAAGATATTAAATCTCTCTGATCTCAGTTTCCTCATCTCCATAATGAAGAATAGTATCTTCCTCATAGGAGTACTGTAAGGAATAAATGAAGTAGAGTAATGTGTGTACAATGCTTAAGTTAGTACTGATGTATGGGAAATGGGTCAGTATATTTCACATGATATCATTTATACTACTGTTGGCACTATAGTAGTGTATTAGTCTGCTTTCATGCTGCTGATAAAGACATACCTGAGACTGGGTAATTTATGCAGAAAAGAGGTTTAATGGACTCATAGTTCCACGTGGCTGGGGAGGCCTCACAATCATGGCAGAAGGTGAAAGGCACGTCTTACATGGTGGCAGACAAGAGAGAATGAGAGCCAAGTGAAAGAGGAAACCCCTTATAAAGCCATCAGATCCATGAGACTTACTCACTACCACGAGAACAGTGTGGGGGAAACTGCCCCCATGATTCAGTTGTCTCCCACTGGGTCCCTCCCACAACATGTGAGATTTATGGGAGCTACAATTCAAGATGAGATTTTGGTGGGGACATAGACAAACCATATCAAGTAGACCCACTTAGCTTCTTAGAAATCCTGTTTAAAAGGAGGCCATGGCGGTTCAAAACAGTTTAGTGACTTGCACAAAGTCACTCAGCTAGTGAGATTCAGAGCCAGAACCCAACCCTGGCCTCTGTGGCTCCTGAACAAATTATCTTGTTCTTTACACAGCCCTAGCTCTCAGGAAACATGCTCAGAGAGCCTATCCCTGTGCAGCCAAAAGAGCAAGTCTTTTCCTAGTTGGAATGAAAATAAATCTATCAGAATGGTTGTTTTAGCATCCTAGAAACTCAAGTAAACATTCAGAAAATACATAGATGAGGTTCAGGAACTCAAGCACAGTGTTGCTTGGGTGTGTTATGGCAAACAGAGTAACTGCATGGAGAAACATTTCTGTCCCTGATACATATTTTGTGCTATTTTGTTTACAGCCACCAAGTGGATTAAGGAATAAGATCCTAGACCTGGGATTTCAAATGAGAGGATGATTGTCTGCAGAGCTCAGACATTTCTGTCGTTGGAGAGCTGTGTTTCCCATGTGATGATTGTTCAGTCAGGAGAGTTTCTCCTGACAGCTCTGGGGCATCTCATTTTTTTTTAACTGAGGGTTTCAAAAAAAAATTTTTTTAATGAAGGTTTTTTCAAAAACCCTCATCATAGTCTCTTTCATTCAACTTCTCCATTAGTAAGACATAGTGAGTAATTCGAAGTTTGACATTGCCCAGGGGTGACAGCCTGGATCAAGAAGGGGAAATGATGTGATCCAGAAAAGATTAGTGCTTTTAACACTCAGATCCCCCACCATTTGACATAAGTTACCCTTTCTTCCTTACTACTCATTCTTGGACCTGATGCTAACTTACTGCTACCAGTTTAGCCTTGGGAATTTCATTTCCTTTTGCTCTTCTCTCTAAACTTCTTTGTTTTATGTATTTAAGAGGCTAGCACTAGGTTAATCAAAGCTAAATTTCTTTTAACTGAGGTACTCTTGCTACATTGGCATTTTAATGTTCTTGGACCCCGTATGGACAAAGAGTTGAAAGAAACATACTCATTTTAATATAAATTTTTCTATCTTCTACATAAATTAGAGAAGCTATAAAATTGACCCATATCTCTTATTTTTCAGATAGACCACATGGTAGAAGGCCATGCTGCTTTTCCAGAACTACAAGTAAAGGCCACAGCCAGGTAACTGCTGTCTCTGTTCCATCTAAAGTTTTCCTTGTGTGACTGCATTGAGAGCATTTATGTTGGGCAGTTGGCTGATTTTCAGGTCCTACGGACAATGAAAATGCCTTTAGTGCTTGAAAGATAGTCATCTGGATGATCCAGAAGGTCCATGTATTAATTCTTTAAATGATGTAAGAGAACTTAGAGAACCTAGAGATTCCCCAAGGATATACCCAGGGACTATGGATAAGAAACTCTGATGTAGAAGGAGGACCATGGATTCTGGAGTCAAAACTTCTTAGTTTCACATCCCAGCCTTACTCCTTAATAGATATAGGACCTTAAGCTAGTTACTTAACCTCTTTATGCCTGTCTCTTCATCTGTAAAACTGAAGATAATAACTGATACGGAGTGATTTCTAGAATATTTTGAAGCAAGCCAAGTGCAAAAAAGTATTTACAATATACTCCCTTTCATGTGAAAAGAAAGACATAAGAAAATAAATGTGTATCTATTCATTTTTGCAAAAGACATACAGGAAGTGGCTAGGCGCGGTGACTCACTCCTGTAATCCTAGCACCTTGGGAGGCCGAGGCAGGCAGATCATGAGGTCAGAGTTCCAGACCAGCCTGGCCAACATGGTGAAACCCCATCTCTACTAAAAATACAAAAGTTAGCTGGACGTGGTGGTATGTGGCTATAATCCAGCGGCTCGGGAGGTTGAGGCAGGAGAATTGCTCAAACCCAGGAGTTGGAGGTTGCAGTGAGCAGAGATTGCGCCATTGTACTCCAGCCTGGGCAATAAGTGAGACTCCATCTCAAAAAAAAAAAAAAA